GGAAAAAGCCAGTGGGTTTTCTGCAGGTACACATTTTGTTCTTAGCTTACATCTAGAGCAAGCCAGGTTTGTGAACACTGAGGGAGACCACCTCTCTCAGATCTGCTCTGGGAACAGAGCAGGAGGACTATTTCCTGACAACACATGGATTTCATTCTGTAGTAGACCATGATGGGTATTTCTCTACTCTTTGTTCACCCTGGGCTTGACATTTAACTTCAAACACCAGTCTTTAAAAGTATGATGTCTGTTGACTAAAACAGAATGGACCTATCTATCCTGATCACTGGGTGGGATGAGTGCCAATGCCAAGGCTATGACCCCTCAATGTGTAAAGAGCGTGAAGGTCTTGATGAGTGGGCGGGACTAGCGGCACCATGACAACTGCTTACCGGAGGACCAGGAAGGCCAGGGAATCCATCCAGCCCATCACGACCTGGGACACCATCATCACCTTTCATCCCATGGACACCTGGGACACCTGGCTGTCCTCGCTCACCTGGGAAAGATTTGCACGTGAATTTACCCATCCAGGGACCCTCAGCTTGTTAACTGAGCCAAGAAGTACTCAGTTGCAGAGAACTAACCTTTGGTTGTGACTGTTCTGGAGTCTCCCTTTATTCCCTTGGGTCCAGGAATTCCAGTGGGGCCTGGGGCTCCCTGTGGGTAGAAAGGATCTTAAGTTATACAGTTTGTGGGCAATCAATCACCGGCTCGAAAGAATTCTCCACAATACCAGAAACACCGCATCGGGCTTTGGGAAGGTGGTCGCTAGCTGCAGTGCCTCTCCCAATGACTAGCTTGATTCTGTGGATAGTAGAACTGTGAAGCTGACTTTTTTTTCTCTAATAATTAAAATGAACAAAAATAGCTCTAGGTGGTTAGAGAGTAAAAGCCTAGAATCTCCATACTCAGAGAACAATGCGTGAGCCTGTATCTTCGGCATGCACCGGCAGGAGCTGGGGATAGATGGGTTTTCAGATGTTTGGGACAGCTGAAATGTGACACAGAGCTCAAAAAGGACCCAGTATGGATTCTTAGACTCAGTAACTTAGAGAAGCACTGACCTAGAACAAGGTGGCTTAATTCGAATCTATACTTGCCAGAATCCAAACAAGTAATAAACCTCTGGGACAGAAGGTGGGACTGGTCATTTATGAGACTGGAGAGATGGTTAAAAGGACTCAGGTTCAATTCCCAGCCCCACATTGGAACCATTCACAACCATTCACCCCACACATGTTCACAAACATCTGTAACTACAGTTCCAGGGATCTGATGCCCTCTCCTGGCCTCTGTGGGCACTGCATGCATGTGGTGTAAGCTCCTCCCTCTCTCTCTGCACATGGACATACAGGCAAAGAACCCATACACCTAAAACATAAATAAATCTGTAAAAGAAGACATGAGCACTTGCTATCTAGATGTGATGAACCGAGAACAATAGCGTCTTTTGCAAAGTGAGGCTGATAGCGTGGAGGGCAGACATTTTACCGCACAGACTCTCAAGAGGTAGGCTGTGAAATCGACTGCAGCTCCACAGGGTAGAAATGGTCTGGGATTGGACTTTAGTGTATGAGGCATCGCTTCATGGTATGTCATGGTTAACTATTTGCAAGAGTTTGGGACTCCTGAGTGTTGGTTTAATTAAATGGAATTTACACGTACTTGTGGACCACTTCATGCTAGAGAATTCCATGGGAACTTGATTTATTGAGTTAGTTCTCGGTAGAGAAAGGAAACACTTCTGGTGTTCAGTACAGCTGCTCACACACAGATGGCACTCAGTAGGTGTTTACTGACTGAATCTAGTGCTTCAAGCACTGTGCCAGGCTATACAGCACAAATACTGAAACTATCCAGCCAACCAGCCTACTAACCACTGATTCTCTATCCATCTGTCCATCCATTTGTCCACCTATCTATCCATCCCTCTATCAGCCAATCAACCTATCTTATCCAATGAACTAGTCAAGTGGACAACTACCCATCCTATTTAGATAACCAATTACCTACCACTTTTCTCCATCTCCTAGTCATCCATCCATCCAACAAGCCACCCAGGCACAATCTCTCTCTCTCTCTCTCTCTCTCTCTCTCCCCCCCTCCCTCTCCTCTCTCTCTCTCTCTCTCTCTCACACACACACACACACACACCATACTAGGGGATCCTTTTACATAGGGTTGTACACACAGACACATACTACTTAAGTTCAGGACAGCAAACACAACCAGAGGCTGTCGGAGAAAAGTCTGCTGGTGTGTGTGCAAAGGAGGGGAGCAGGCATACCTGGGCTATTTATAGGTTTCAGAGGTACCACATGGGATCCATTTGGCCTCTAGGAATGACTCAGGTGAACAGCTGACTTGATTTTCCAGAGTGAAGTGTATGGTTTTCACTTCATGCTCTTTTCTGAACAGGTTAACAATGCTTTAGACTTAGAGGGGTACTGTCGTGTGTGTGTGTGTGTGTGTGTGTGTGTGTGTGTATACATGTGTGTCTGTTTGACAGGCTCTTCCTCATGTAGCCGAGGCTAAACTCAAATTTATGATCAGGCTGGCATAGTCTTTTGCACTGAGATAAAACAGTTTCTATTCTTGTGTGGCTTAGGTTCTCTTTCACACAGAGTTGGATTGTTGACATTGTCCTTGGCCAGGTGCTTCAATAACTTTTTCCTCTATTTCTCAAAAGATAAATGATAGGACAGTCAGCTGTTGTGCTACATGCCTGTCATCCCAGAATACAGGAGGATTGCCAGGGATGGAAGGCCAGCCTGGGAGACACAGTAAGGCTGTGTATATGTGTATGTGTACATGCCACATGGTGGTGTGGTTAGTGCTCCACCCTTGCAGGTTAGTGCTCCACAGGGTGGCCATGCAAATTTTACTCTCCCACCTATACGACATGGACATTTGGGCTGTTTCTACTTTAAAAAAAAAGACTCATATATATAATGCCATTTCACACGCTGTGCATACACTTGAGAAGACACGGGGCTGCAGTTCCCTCCTGCAGCCTGGAAGGGGAACCTCTAGGTTCTGTGATAACTTCATGTCTAACGTTGAGAGAATTAGAGACTTTCTTCCAACAGAGGAAAGTTTCAAACAGTACTCTGGTGTGTGAGTGAAGAGTCTGGCCAGTCTCAGGTACCTGCCAGCAGCAAGGTAACAGTGACCAGCAGGGGCTGCTGTTTTCTCACCTTGAATCCTGGGAACCCAGGGATACCGTGCAGGCCTGGGTCTCCTTGGTCCCCTTTCTTTCCCAGTTCCCCATTGACACCAGGAGAACCCTTGGGTCCTGGCAATCCCGGAAGACCCCCGATGACCTGGCCACACTGGCAGTCTCCGGCTTCACCTGTAGTGAGTGGGAGAGGGATGTGTATGTTAAATGGGGCTTGGGATGGCAGAGGGAGAGGAAAAGTGAGGAGGGCTGGTGGGAGAAGATTCTGCAGGTTAGACATCAAGTGCTGGCATTAAAGGCATGCACCACCACGCCTGGCTTCAGAGGTGTCTCGGGTGGAGACTCTAATCAGAATATAAAGTGTTTCATATGACCTGCACACAGCCCAAAGTTAACTTCATCCAACAGTTTTGGTGCAGCTGTTTGGACTGTGACCCAGTATATGATGCTAGCAGTGGAATTTTCCACCTGCTGTGTCATGCTGGTTTTCAGAAAGTTTAGATTTTGGAATATTTCCAATTTCAGACCAAATGCCCATCCTTTACCTTCAAAGAAATGAATGAAAGGTAGGGGAAGGGTCAACATTTCAAGGTAAGGTGACATGGAGGGTAGATTGTGGCTGGCATCCTCACCTTTCCATCCTTTCTGTCCTCGAGCCCCTGGGAAACCGGAAGGCCCCGGGTAACCCACTCTCCCTTCTGATCCTTTCAGGCCAAACAGGAAGCCTAGGAGAAAATACACGGGATGAGAACATCCGTGAGAGACAGCATCAGGCTCTCAGCCAAGTCTACCCCAGCTCCCTGGAGCTCTGGTTCCACAACAACACCTTCTAGGACAGCCACGTGTCACAGCCCACAGGGTGGAACAGAGACTAGAGCTTGCAAATTTAGCTTTTCCATCAATGTGTCATGACCAATGTCTTTCCTTCTGAATTCTCAATTCAAACAAAGATCTTGGATTTTCAGTCACGTAAGTGGAATTTTAAAATGGCTACATATTCCTGTTCTTCCTCAGAGACCCCACCCACCACAAGGGAAACACCCCCCCCCCCAAGAGTTAAGACAACCCCAGCTCTTTATTCTGTCCTCTTTAGGAGTGGATGCACACCTGTGCTCAGACCTTTTCACCTGTCCCTTTACTTCTCCATGCACACATGAACACACATGTGGACACACAAACATGTGAGTAACTAACGGGTGTCCTCCTGACTAATTGGTACTAGGCATGGTTGACCTCACTGAACAATCTTGACCTCTAATTTTCCTCTTCTAGGCCCCTTTCCTCACCAAGGGTTGGAGGATTCACTGCAGTGCCCCTGTAATTGCACATATGTGTATCAGATTGACCAGATGAGACTAAGGCTACACAACCAACCCTGAGACCTTCTGGACGACCACCATCTGGTGGTAGGTACCAGGGTGCATGGCTGGGCAGCTGCTCCTCACTGTCTTACTCTGTAGCCCAGGTTGGCCCTGAACTTAAGATGACTCTTGCATCTTAGCCTCCCAAGTGCCAGGATTACAGGTATGAACCACCAAGCCTCACCTCTGTTAAACCTAGTAGTGCTCAAAGCCCTAACAAACACCTCTAAACAAGCTAGATGCAGTGGCTGTACAGGAAGTAGAAGGGATACGAAGCAGCAACTTCAAAGGCTCTTGCTCTTGGACAAGGAGAGTGGGATGGTGTTTGAGAGAGCTCCCGGGGGAGCAGAGGGTTGTGAGAGGCAAGTGAGTGCTGTTGTGTGTAACATGATCTGGCTGCATATAAACACAGCCTCACTCATTCATCCATCCATCCATTCATCCACCACGAGCCAGAGCCTGAGCTCTGCCAGGCAGCAAACAAAAGTGAATTTTCAGATTATGGCCAGCACTGTTCGAGGGCATCTGGGAATGGCTGACTTAGAATTAGTGGTGTCCAGAGAGGGCTTCCTGAGGGAGCGATACGAACTGCAGCTGACAGAGGGAAACTGGCCAGGCAGGGAGTTGGAGGAATAGCCACAAACAGGATAGCATGACCAAATGGCGCCTTAACAGTAGAGAGCCATGACCAGAGGATGTGTAAAGGGGACCCAGAGGGTTGTTGGCATGGAGGAGGGGAGTGGACCCTCTTGGGCTTTTATTCCTAAGGGCAAACAAGACCATGAAAGAGCTATAAGGAGAGAGGCTGCACCATACATGGTTGGCTCAGTGTGGAGAGTGAGATGCCCAGACATTCCTGGGTCCTGACTTAAGCTCAGAGGCTATGGGGGAGCAAGGACATCAGGAAACATGTTGGGCAGGAAGTAGCCTGGGAGGGTGGAGATCTGCAGCTCCACGCTGGGTATTCTGAGGTAAGGTATCCCTGAAACCCAGTGCCGGCTGTTTCCAGTGAGAAGTTTCATATGTGTAGTTCAGAGCTCGGAGGAGTGTCCATGTTTGTACCAGGCTACATTCCCATTGGAGAGTTTATCTAGGCACAATGAGGATAGAAGTGGCCAGAGAGAATTTCAGGGCTGCATTAGCTACTAGAGATGGGGGTGGGCATGTGTGTGAGACAGCTGCAATTGAAGGGTCCACTGAGAAGTCCTACAAAGTGTCCTGAGAGATGAGAACGATGGGCAGGCCTCATGGAAGGGAAAGAAGAGACACCTGTGTGACCCCTCTAGGAGCTGCTCAGGTCTGGATTGGGCTCTAACCTAAAGCTTCCAGGTGAGGAGAAAAGCAGCTGGTAAATAGAGGGATTTGTCACCCGGCCTTTAGGAACATTGCTATTTAAAACTGGAGCCATGTGGGGGCTGGAGAGATGGCTCAGAGGTTAAGAGCACTGACTGCTCTTCCAGAGGTCCTGAGTTCAATTCCCGGCAACCACATGGCTCACAACCACCTTGAATGAGATCTTGTGCCCTCTTCTGGCCTGCAGGGCACATGCAGGCAGAAGACTGTATACTTACTAAATAAAATCTTTAAAAAAACACAAAAAAACTGGAGATGTGTCATTGAAGACAAAGAGGGATTAGGAGGTTTAATAAGGCCTTCACTAAGGCACAGAAGAGCCATCTGCCCCCCCATGCTTCCCCCCCATGTTTCCCTCATTAATTTAATTTAATTCATTCATAATCTCAACAAGTTCTTTGGGTTGTGATCTCAACAGGACTTCCACAAAGAACTGAGTCAGCTGACTTAGAAGCGGCTCCAGCAGAGCCTTTCACCTCAAATGACAGCTGGCACCAAGGTTTGCTCTTACTCTAGTGTGAATGACTAAGCATTCAGGCTCCCAGCAGCCTCAGCACACGAAACAAGGATCAAACACAGTTCCTGAAAAAAGACTCCAAAAATCTCAGTTCCGAGAACCTGAACTCTGTGGAAGTGCTGGTTCCCAGTACGAAGTGCTGGTTCCCAGTACTAAGTTACAAGGTGGATACTTAGCTGTGAGACACACTTCCAAAGCCAATGGTTGGCTACTTTTCACATAAGAGGTTGGTAGAAAAACAGATGGTAACAGTGTGTTTCACAGAGGCAACAACTCAAGAAGGGCTGAAGGGGGATGCCCTAAAATTTTTAGTTGATAAACCTTCTTACACCAGTCCATCTTCTGTATATATTCCCTTATCAGATGATAATTCATGCCAGATAGCTGTCTCTGTTTACTTATGTTAGTTTATTTATATCAGCGACGATATAATCACTCAGTGAGCAAAATTCACAGGTGAAGACAGAGTATGCTCATGGCAGCGTGGAGTGACAGGGACAGTGTCCTCACTCATGGCATGCTTCTATGCTCTTGACACATGTAAGGAAAACCCTACAGATGCTGCACACAGGAAAGATAGGCTCACAGAAATTCATATGTCATCAATAAATATCTTCCTGTCAACATTAACAGATCAAACTCACGTCATAAATTCTACTTTCAGCATAATAGAAAACAGTAAAGATAGCTTTGTACAAATGCATCATCCAAGGAAGCAACATTTAAAACTTTTCAAACAAATGTGCTATCTTCCGAATGGAACAAAGCTGGCGAGTAGAGTTATATCAAGTTACAATGTTACTGTAGAATGTGAAGTAGAAGCAGAACTGACTGGCTTCCTATATGCTTATTTTATGTAAGTCTTTCTATGGAAGAAATACTGCCAGTAATTTTCCTTCTGGAGATGGCATAGAGAAGGATTTTCCCAAAGCAATCAAAACAGTTTCTAAACCTGAAGTTTAACTAAAACCTAACACTGTCCATTAGCAAATAGGATGCTCTGCCCTCTGAAGGGAGGACTCAGAAGATGCCCAGGTCCTGAAGGGACTTGAGAAGGAACAGCTGGAGGTAATCAAGGAGTTGAAATCATTTTGGAAAGAAGAGCCTGCATTTGGGTCAATGTCACCCAGAAAGAAAGAATGACCTCTTATTTCCTCCCAGTGCCTCATAAGCTAATCTCTCCGGGAGATGAAATGTTCCCATGTGAAAATTACCACATCTAAATTGTAACTGAATGCTACAGCTGAGAAGAATGGTTTTTGTGGATAGTGCATCCTCAGTAGATAGTGTTCTTGACATAAGGACAGCACAGACTGTCACAGCCTGAAAATGCTACCTTGGCATTCTTGGGACCATCCTAGC